ATCAAATTTTAATCAGATTGACGAAATCTAGACCACAGTTATCACTAGCTATCACTTGACAATCGTAGAAATCGGGTTATGAGAATATTGGTAGAATCTTGCCTATGCTGCATGAACATGGTATTTAGGGTTGACGCAAGCTGTCTGTAGAAACTAATGTACAACGGCCATATCGTGGGAATGGTAAGTAGTTACAGAGCTTCAACACAAAAATTACACACATCCACCCACGAAAATGTTCAAATGTCATAATTTTCCAGCAACGAGAAGGTTAAGCAAGCTCACTCGATCCAATATTCCTTCTCATTTATGGGAGAACTAAGGGGCCTGAAACGTGCGCTTTTTTCCTGCAAAATCGGTAGCAGTTAATCCGTATTTCTAACTCGCATTCCGATATTTCGTTTAGCGTATATTAAATCCTCTACACGGCTGTTGAAGTCAAGTTGTTTTAAAAAAGTATTTTGTAAATTGGAATTCCGATACAACGAGCTGTCAGGAGACGGGGATAATGTACTAATTTTAACGGGGGTACGGGGGTACTGTTGTAATTAACTTACGGTTCTTTGGCACCCCCTTACTACGATGTTACATTGTGTCCACGTTGAGTCTGCATTGTGTCTTACCGTCCTTTGGCACTTCGTTACTACGACTTCTGCGTCTTATTCCATACTTACTTATTATTGTAAATGGGGAGACAAAAATCACTCGTTATTATAAGGCTAATTGAGACTGTTTTCACCCTGCGATTGGTTAATTTGCAGTCCATAACTTATTGTAGGGACCAAAATTTAAAAATCAAATACTTGCTTTTATCTCGAGAAAAATATTTTAAAGAAAGTATATGTCTGTAAACCCTGAGAACCTAGATGTTGACTTCGTCCCTCCACGTTTTGACCTGTGTTTATTTGAGAATGAAGCTGATGAAGAAACTGATTCGTTATCTTACCGAAGAAGAGAATTATAATCATTAATCGAAAATTTAATCACAGGTCAAGGTTAAGAAGACGAGAATGCACTGGAAGAGATTCAAGACGTTTCTCCAAAGAAAAACGAGCGAATCGTTCAACAATGAAAACGAACTTACCTTGACAAGCTTCTACTTTGTAATGTGCTTTTTTTTTCGTGAGCCAATAAAAACTTTCTTTTTCTGAAGCCTATCAAATTACTGTCACATCGCTTGTCCTGCACTTGTTTTCGGTCCCCAAACAGGAAGTCGTACAACAGCCATCTTATTAGCCTCGTTTTCTCGGTCCGTACTTTAAATTAAGAAACCTTGTTTTCTTTCGATCAATTTATGGCCCAAGAGAAAAAAAATCGATGAAAAACCTTGGTCCGTAATTTACAGTACCGAGACCAAAACGAGGCTAATATGCAAGAGGTACTTATCCCGAAAAGCTCGTCAGCCGGGTTTCCTTTTCTCCTTGAGTTTTTTCTTCTTATTAAAACATTCAGTAGGTAAATTTTCAGATAAGAATACATTTTACGCTATTTGGTAGAGCGTTTTTCTTTTTACTTGTGTGCCTTGCTTGGGAGACTGGGCGACCACTCCCTACGTAATCGACGTTAGGTAAACTTGCTATCTTTTATCTCAAGTTCAGATATAACGCGCACTCTGATTGGTTGAAAAAGGGTGCTTTATGAGATATTAAACACGAAGCTAAAGCTGTCACATCATCAGCCAATAGTTTGTTTTGAAAATTAGAAAGTAACGCGAGGGGAATTTAACGGATTCGTTATCATAAGGCAAATAAAGAAGCTTTGACTGCGCTCTGTTCTGTTGTAAAGCACTTAAGAAGCGGCTAGAGTACTTAAGAAGTAGGGAGAAACACTAAACTACGTTTTTCTCTTTTCCTCCTACACTTCTTGAGTGCTCTAGCCGCTTCCTAAGTGCCTTACAACAGATCAAAGTACAGTCTAGGCTTCTTTATTTGTTAATAAGGACTTAAAGATCCAACGACGCGACTGCAATGAGAACGTCGCTCAAAAAGTGAATTTACGTTCTTTCAGTCTATATCGCAGTTATTCCTACCCACTTACTTTGTCAAATGTAGGGGAACCCTCCTGGAGTTGAATTCGTAGGCACCATATCCAAGTACAGTAAGAGAAATTAAATTTCGTCGTTGCTTGTTTACGTCCTCCGTAAAACGCGAAACTACGCATGTTCACGTCGTGGTCGTGCAAAAACGGCAGAGAAATGTACAAAAAAGCATGGTGCACGTGCAGAGTTGTTGTTTTGCTAATCAAACCTATTGTTTTTTTTTTGGCGTTCTCGTTACCGTCCGCGTCGTTGGATCTTAAAGTCCCTAATTACTTTTAGTGTACAACAACCAGCCATCCCTGAAGGCCCCAAGAGAGTTCGCCTGTCGTAGCTCAGTAGGACGGCTATTCCAAAGAACTGCTCCAGAGGAACTGAAACTATTTTTCATACAGTTTGTATAGGGAGGAGGAAAAGTGAGTTTGCCGTTGGTGTCTCTAAAAAGTACGCGGAGACATTACTACAATAACTAGCTTTCTACTCACCTTCCTCGACCTTTATGTAAAGTTTCCCGGCACTCCAGAAACTATAAAAGAATGAGTGTAAGCTTTAGGCGCAACGATTTCTGGGATCGGATGGGAGGACAAGCGTTACTTATGATTGGTTAATGGTTGCTATGAATACCATCGACCAATCATAACTAACACTTGTCCACCAAAACGATCCCAAAAATCATTACGCCGAAAGCTTGTACCCATTACCCTTGTAGTCTCAGGAGTGAGGAATTAATTATGCAGAAATAAATGCAGAGAAGGTCATCACAGTTAAATATGCAGGCAACTTATGCAGTTGCGAAAAGAAGCTAAAAGAAAGCCTGAAAAAATTCAGGCTTACCGAGATTCGAACCCTGACTTCTGCAAAATTTGAGTAAGAGCAAGAGAGTATCGTAAGAGGGTGATTGCTGTTGTTGTTTCTTTTCTTTTTCGTTATCGTAATCCTCAACAGCTTCTCTAAACTACTATTATCCATGACGACAGTTCTGTCAAAGATAAATGAGTCGGCGGGACATAGCCTGCGTGGCGTGTTCCCCTCGCGCGCCCTTTTCTTTTGCGTCCCCATCTAGGACTATGACGTATTTGTTGGATTATAAATAAACGCTGGCCCATTGGCGCTCATTGAAGCAAAACAAAAAATGACACTCCTTCCTTCTAATTGCAAAGTTTTCGAAACAGTCGAACAAGATCAGTCTATGCAAATGCAGACAAGAGCTTGTCATGCTTAAACGTTCTAAATGTTAGATTCATCGATGGGCCACGTCACTTAGAACACTTTGTTTCTTTGTGAAACATGTACAGGAATCTACATGGAAGAGGCTTCGCAAGCGAATGTGGCAGCAAAAAGGTAACTTAATTAAAGATTAGCTTCAGGGCCTTGTGTGCCTCACAGATCGTTTCACAGAGCATTTATTACTACGTAGTGCTGTTTTATCTATATCACTTTTGATTTTCGGGATTCTGAAAAATTCCGATCGATGCCGACACTTTGCAACCTTCAAAGTTTCCAAAAGATTTTTAGCAATAAACTGATAAACAATTCATGAAGCAAATATGATAATTGACCTTAAATTCTCTTAAGCTCTATTAGCTTCTAGCTACAAGCTCAATGTAGTTTTTAATTCAAAGCTTCTATCGCCATTGGCTAATGTGCTCGATATCTAGCAAAAGTCATGACCAGAGTTGATAATATCGAAAGAAGGAATATTTTTCGCGACCCTGAGTAGTGAGGAGACATATGTTCATATTTCCGCCTCAGTGACGAAACTAGGTCGCCGGTTTTAGTCATGAACGCCTGTGACCAGCCAGTTCAAATACATACACATATTATAAGTCGTAGCATACCACCCCTTTTCTGTCTACTAAAAAGGATGTCGGCATGTTTATGCTTCTCTGTTGCCCTCGCTGTTAAAATCGTAGGTGACACGGTTGATAACCCTGCCGCAGTCATTGCGCGTTTTATGTGACACATTACGGCTCTTCTGCTTTTAGTTGGCAACAACAGATAAAAAAGCATCCCATTCGTCGGAATTAGTAAAAAACTTGAGAATTCACAAGTGAACGAAAAGATATTGGTCATATCAATTCTGAGTGTATACAGTCAAATGATGACTTACAAGGCCGATAAAGCTAATTGCCATGGAGTCAATATGGATTACCGTACTGCAACATTGAAATTACACGTAATACTACATGCAATATAATTATGATGACAGTAAGGGTGTGCTTAGTTATCTTCTTATATTTGAGTGTCGCGGATATAAGAAACTTGATATGGTCCATATCTGAGTTGCTGTAAGTTTTCTGATCTGTTTTGTATGTCAGTGGTTGTGTTGCTTAGGTAGATTTTTTTCATCATCGTGTTGTTCTCTTTGGAATTCAATAAACCGATACTGATAAACCGATAATGCATAATGCTTGGTTCTAACAAACAATCTGGTAGTAAATGATTTCTGAACTTCTTATGTACTTGTTTCCATGCAAAAAGGAAAAGCCCTGTCTCTTGTAATTAAACCAACTAAACTCCCTAATATCCAGTAAAGCGGAACCTTGAGGGTTCAAAAGCTGTTCTCCTGCTAATATAATGCGCTCGGTTAACCAACTCAAATCGTCCACAATCGTAAATCTAGTTGTTGTGTTCACTAAATACCCTCGACAACAAATGTCTTGTTAAACATCCTCCTTGAAGGCATTGTTTTTTTTCTTATAATAGTCATGCCAGTCATATTCATACTCTCCTAATATTCTTATTAATTGTGCGGCTTGCCAACTCCTTAACGCGTGACTTCGTTTGTAAAGTTTCATGGTCTTGTAATCATGAAAATAAAAATAAAAAACAAAACAAATGAAAGCAATGACAAAGCGAGTTGATCGTTAATTGTGGTGCGAGTCACGTTTTATCTTTCTTGCCAATGTAGGTTAACAATGAATTTCCAAGACGTGAACGTTTTCTTCTGCATCAAATTTGCTAAATGGCGACTGCAGCATCTTCACCCCTGGCCAGCTCTCCAGCGAAGACAAATGGAAACAAGCTGAGCAGGCTTCTCATCGATGGCGGAACAAAGGTGCTGAGAAATATTTTCGATCACTATCACCCACCTGTCATGTTGGCTTCTGACCTCAATTTCAATTACTCCATTCTTAACAACCTTTTGCGTAAAAGAGTGCTAAATGGCCATCAGTGGGACAAACTCTTCCCCTCTGGTGGAGGAGTGCCAGACTCCAACACGTTTGACATCACTCTTCTGTTCCTGCTGCTAACTACCATCTGCGGCTTATCCCCTCCCCTGACAGGATGGCACACCAAGCCGCCCCCTGGTGATAACACTCTTGAGGCTAACCTTGCTCGCGTTAAGTTCTTCCGGAATGAGTTGTATGGTCACGTGACGTCCACAGGGGTTGATGCGACATCTTTCTCCTCCTTCTGGCATGAAATAAGCATTACTCTTCATTCGCTGGGTTTAGATCAAGCTGATATTGACAGACTGAAGGCAGAGCATGGAGCAGAGGAAGATTACCTTGATGCCTTAATTGAGTGGGCTGACAGTGAAGAGGACATAAAAACGCAGCTGAAAGACATCCACCAGACGCAATTAAAACTCAGCAAAACAGTTGAAGATGGCAATTTAAACATGGAACAGCTACGTCAAGCCCTAAGCAAAACTCAGGATGTTGTAGATGAAGCAGTGGAGATAGAACTCAAAGGACATCAAGAATTGAGGGCAGCACACCAGGAAAGCATGTCACGTTTAGAGGGAGTGTGTGAGTCCCAAATTAAAACCAGCCAAGCTGTGGACGAAATTCGTGAATCAATCCAAGAAGTAAAACAGGAAGTAAAAGGCTTGACGAAAACGAAAAGCGAGCACGCAGATGAGGTGCTTAGGACCCTTGTGAAGTTTGAATTCAAAGGAGACATAGAGTTTCATGCAAGCAAATTCCAGGAAGGAACTCGTGAGTGGATCTTCAAAAGCATCGAAGACTGGTTAGACGACCGGAGCTCGCCACATCGGGCGATGGTAATCAGTGGAAATCCAGGGATGGGAAAGACTGTTATCTCCGCTGTTGTTTCGCAAAGAATTAAAAAGGCTGGAAGACTCTCGGGAATCCACTTTTGTCAGCATGACGATTCACGGTACCGAGATCCACGTTTAATGCTCCAGTCTTTAGCCTGTCACTTGTGTCAAGCGATGCCAAGTTACAAAGATGCTCTAGTGGAACAGCTGTCAAGAAATCTGGGTAAAGACCTCAACAACATGGGTGTTAAAGAGCTGTTTGCGTTGTTGTTCAAAGAGCCTCTAAGCAAAGTACAAGATCCTGGAAGAAACATCCTAATAGTCATAGATGGCCTCGATGAAAGCGAGTACAAAGGACGCAATGAGCTTGTACATGTAATCAGTAACCACTTTTCTATGCTTCCAGTCTGGATTAGAATACTCATTACAACTCGTCCAGAGAAGAACGTTACAGAGGCCTTGCGACATTTGAAACCAATAGAGCTTGAACAAAAACAAGAAGAAAACTTAAAGGACATTCAAACCTTGTTTGAAACACAACTCAGCCTCAAAATTGGTGAGGAGCATAAACATGTTCTCTTGAAAGAGCTGGTCAAGAAATCAGAAGGCCTGTTTATTTACGCTTACTTTATAGTGGATTTTATCCAAAAGAATGTTTCAATTCTCAGCCCTGATCAGCTGGAAAGTGTGTTACCTTCAGATATTTCATCTGTTTACCTGTCCTATTTTACACGGTTAGAGGATGAACTTTGCAAAGAGCTTAATGCAGATGAGGAACATTTTTTGAGTTTCCTGTGTGCATTGACCGCTGCAAGGGAACCATTACCAGTAGAATTCATTGCCAAAATTCTAAACCCAGGAGGAAAATCTTTGACTGCGCAACGAAAAGTTAACAAAGCGATATCTTGCATCTCTACACTGTTACCAGTTCGGGAGGGTCGCCTTCACTTTTTTCACAAGTCAATCAAGGACTGGCTAGTAGCATCATCGCCCTATGAACAACATGATTTCACCGTGGATGAGAAAGAAGGTCATATTGTTCTTTCTGATCTCTGCGCCTCTGAAATCGATAGCTTACAGCGAAAAGGGGTTCATGGCAAACAATTTTCGAATACTGAAATGTATGCTTTGCATCATGGTACTCAGCACATGCTTGAGGTCACCGATCTTGACTGCGTGGACAAAACAAGAACCAGTAGTGTCACAGCAGAACAGGTGTTTCGATACGCGACAGACGTCGAAGTTCTTTATGCAAAACTTTGTGTTAAGAGCACATCAGCCATAGAAGATCTTCTCAGTCTCCACAGTAAGAATTGCAGTTTACTAAGCGAGGAAAGTGATTTTGTTGTGATTTCTCTCCTCAGTCTTCTAAGAAAACACTCTTACATCTTGTTTGATTACCCTCACCTATTTTTCCAGTGTTTGATTAACGAAGGTACCCCTGAATTGTCGTCTACAGCAGCAGGTACTGTTGAGTCATTAACTCCCAAAATGCCATGCATGAAGTACTTAGACAATGACAACCAAAAGGGAGCAGTCCAGGCAAGATTTGAGTGTTCAGATAAAATCGCATGTTTTGATGTTTCACCTGAAATGGACTACATGGTATGCGAGTGTCGAGATGAAACAATCCATTTGTTTTCTCTGAAGTTTGGTACCAAAGTATGGGTTCAACCATCATCTACACAGAGAAAGTATTGGCCTAGAGAATTAAGTGGGAATGGTGCATATCGGCAAATTGGGCATTCCCTGTCATTCTACCATTCTGTCATCTTTCATCCAAATGGAAAGTCGGTACTACCAGGAACTCTTCGATATGTTTACACAATAAGTGGAGACAGAGAAGACCTTTATCCGGACAGCGACTGTTCATTCTCAAATTGCGTTGTACGTTCTCTTTCTGACACTAAGAACATAATTTTCACAACTTGCTATACAGAGCCAAAGCGAATAAACATTTGGGATTTGGAAAATGGCCAATTAATCAATCAATTAATCGAGTGCAATGCAGAAATTACTTCCTTTGCCATTTCTGAAGATGGGTCACTTATTGCTATTTCTGACATTACTAATACAATTACTGTTTTTGACGTAGACAACCAGTCTGGCTTGAAATTACCACTCGGTAAAGATGATTATCAATCGGTATGTGGATTGATGCAATTCACATCCGACAATAACACTCTGGTTTGCTGCTTTCTATATTGGCAATGTGATGAAGCCGGTTGCCTGTTAGAAGAAGAAAGAAAACCAAGATTTACCTTCATTACGCCGGTAAATAACATTTCGTTACCTGATCCTCATTTTGAGACTCTGGAATTTCGAACCTTTCTCTTGTGGCCATTTGTTCCACCAAACACTTTGACTCAATCCACTTTCATGGGGCAGAATGAAGGACCTTCCTGGGTATCGAAGGTGCAGAGAGAGATTCCACATTTGTTCTCAGGTTCCTACATCAGTCTTAGCGATGAAAACATTTTGGTTGGTAGCCCAGATCACAAATACGTCACGATGTTAAACGTTGGTCAGCTGCAGAGGGAGTCCGACTCGACTTACACTTCCAACGTTAACATGGGTGTCAGGAAGATTATATTTTCTATGGAAGGCGATGCAATATACGCCATGAGCTCGCGCGAGCGTTTCGTAAGTTCAAATGGGGTTCTAACGATTACTGTATGGAAAATGTCAAGTCGCGAATTCCTGAAGACAAAGCAATTTTACGGCCCTGTGTCGATCCTCCCGAAGAAGGAAGGTCTTGTAGTCTTTAAGAAAGATCGTGTAGCAGAGTTGTGGAATTTCGACCTGTCGGAGTGCATTCGAACTATTGTTAAACTTAGTAATACTGATATTTTATATAAAGTAAGAATTATGCCAGTATCAGATGAACTGATAGCCTTTTTTTATCCTCTAAGTTCTTGCGAATCAATTTATATCAGAAGTTCACAACAATCACCACAAAACGAAGAATCTTCCGAATCTAAAGAAGAAAACGAGGAATATTTGAACTTTCTAAAATTGTTCAATATGCATGCTTATCGCATTGACTTTATAGACTTAACCAGTGTCGGAGGAAAGCTTGTTTCCTCGTTAAGCATGGGAGTTGGCGCCAAAGAATACGTAGACTATGTCTCATGCAGTAGTTGTTTGGGCGAAGTGTTGGTTTGCACTGTCGAAGATATATCCAAGGGATTACCTATAGACAACGAGAAGCTCACTGTTAGCTTAAGAAAGAACGGAATAATTAAATGGGAACGAAACACAGAATACGTGTTCTCACCGTTCCAACAGCACATGATTTTCTCACCCAGGAATGAGTTTGTTGTCACGTGGAACACTCTCGACAGGGGCCAAGGAATACACGTTCTTCAGGCGGAAACTGGACAGACATTACACGTCTTTCTTAGAGACCAGAAAGACATTATTGAATGTAAATTTTTAGATGATGAATCTCTGGTATGCTGCAGTGGGGAAAACTTCCTTCGATTGTATAATGTCAGAACCGGAGACCTTCTAAGTGGTTTAGACATTGGAGAGCAACCTTTCTGTCTGGGAGCATGTTTGTACCATCCTCTTATTGCCATTGGTTTGTCCGGCACAAGAATAAAATTCGTCCACGTACAGTTACCAACAGAGTCTAAAAAGAAGAAATAAAGGTGAGCCTTTCTCTAGTCGGTCAAAAATAGGCACAAGGCCAATTTCGCGAGTTAAGTAACCTAACAGTACCTAGACCCTACGAGTTCTCTCTATTTTTTCAGTCCGTAGAGCGAAAGGCTCGAGACACGAAAATAACCACGCACGCGACTGAATGTGCAGGCTCTCTCTCTCGCGTGTACTTTTTTCACGAAAAAATTAATTTGAAGAAAATAGAAGATTATTTGCAGCCAAAACCAGGAGGCAAAATTAATTATGGCTCCTGGTCTAAAACAGTGCCCACACCTCAACACGATAAGTAGATATACGTCTAGAGTGAATCGTATTCTTACAAATTTGCGCACGAAAGTTCATAAATCGTATTCCGCGGTTCTGGGGAACAAATACCGATGTTTCAAAGGGAACGTATAATACCGTTCCAGTTTGACTGCTCATGAAAAAGACCACCGCCAAAAGGATAGAGCCGACCATAAAGTTAAGTGAATGTACCAAAAACGATTTTGAAAGATTTATACAGTAGGACACAGATGACAGTGAAGCAGAGAGAGAATATGAAAAAATGTAAGAAAAAGAACCATGTTTGAATTACCTAAAATCATCGCCATCAAGTCCATAACTTACAGCAACTTTAAGAATTATTTTATTTCGTAACGTGACATAACATTAAATTTCGCAACTTTAAGTTTTCTTGCACTCCAGTTTTCGCTGCTAGTAGATTTCAGGATTGTTTTGAGTTTGCGAATAACGCGAACTTTAGATTTGATAGCCTCCACCTTACTTATTTAAATAACGCAAGTGAATTTCTGTTTTCAGTTGCAGTTTTAACGCAAGTAAAATGAGCAACTTCTGATGACCTGACACTAGCCGAGCACAAAGAGCTGGATTCTGGATGAAAAGAAATAATTGCAAAAGTCGGGATTTAAATTTATTTGAAGAGCCCTGGATGCAAGCTGCTATAAAGAGACATGTATATTATGAACTTTGAAATTTCGCACATTAACAGAGTAGCGGATGTAGGGAGGGGCCGGGGGGTGGGGTGGGTCGGAGGGAGGATCCGTTAAAGCACCAATCAGACTAACTGCTAAAATTTGAAACTGGAAAAAAGGATGAATATTACTATACACAGCCTTCCTTTAGTAGCTTACAATGGAACTTGTTTTGCACCCTTAACCATAATCAGTACACCTTTTTAACCACTGGCTTGTTATATAAATCGACGAAATCTGGACAAAACGTAAAACTAAACCAACTAGAAAAACGTTGTAAACCTTTTTTGTATGGCTTTTTTTGTGAATGTTCCAGATGTCTGAAAATGACTCATATCTCCCAGTAACACTGTAGTAAAAAAATGCGGGGTGTAATATACTAATGTACGGTGTGAAATAAGGGTCATGTTAACACTCGCTGCCTGGTCCGGACCGCACCACACTGTTTCTGAGACTTGACAGGCGCGTCACCTTGAGTTTGATTTACTAGTTAAAATTGTGTGTTGCACCATTATCATGACATTAGTGGTCTATATAGTTGACTTTTCCTTGTAGAAGTAATAGAGAGCTTAAGCAACAACAAAGGCGACGGCTACGAAAACGTCACTTAAAAAGTGAACTCGCGCTGCCTCAAACTTTATCGCGCTTGTTCCATCTCGTTTAATTCGTCAAATGTTGGCAGTTTTTTTTGGAGTTGAATTCTAAAGGGCTCTATCAAAGTTCAAGAAATGAAAAAGGAAAGTTATTGTCTTGTGTTCTCGTTCTCGACAAAACGTGAAATTATGCACTTTCGCGTCGTAGTCGTGCAACGAACTCTAAGAAATGTACAAAAAGCGTGCACGTGCAGACTTGTTGTTTTGCCCATCTAAACTTCTTAGGGTTTTTTTTTGCCGTTCTCGTTGCCGTCGCCGTCGTCGTTGCTTAAGCTCCATAATGTTTAATCTTACCTTCCTTCTCTTTAAACCTCCTAGATCCAGCCACGTTACCTACCCTGCTTGCAGAGGTTTGTCTGTTCCGGCATGGTTTTAAGCATTAAAGACGTAAAGAAGCCAATTACATTTAGGCGAATGTTAGCAATAAAAAAGACTTCATAAATACTTAAAACCACACCGAAAAGAAACCTCTGCTGCCAGGGTAACGTTACCATGTTGTTACTGTGTAACAGTGGAGTAAAAAGGGCGAACTACTGCTTTTCTTTTTTCGTAAAACGGCTGGCAATGAAACCAATTTGTTACTCGAGGTTCACGATTTGATTTTCCGGATATGTTACGAACTGTATATGTTTTAAGGTCAACCTGGTGGTACAATCATGAAATAGCAAAGTGCCAGAAAACTGAAATAATTCATGGGGTCATGTTGTACAGTGAACCCTGCATGATCACCGTCCCAGTACAATGTGAAGCACAAAGTACACCGTCAAACTCCGTTAATACGGACACTGATGGGACCATAGAAAGTGTCCTTATCAACGGGCTGTCCGTATCAAGCGGGTTGGATTTAGAGAGAATATAAGGGCTTTGTTTTCCCAGGGACAAAGCAAACTGTCCATAAAAATGAGGTGTCTGTATTAAGCAGGTGTCCGGCGTAAAGCGGGTTTTGACTGTATGGAACAATACCCTACAAGAGAGGATTCTCTCCTAGCACCCAATATAACTTTTATATACCTTCTTTTTATTAGGTGCAATTACAACACATGGTAAATTTATTTCCATCTTGAAAATAATACCACAATAATAGTAATTATTAGTTTTTTATCCATGGCAAGGAAATAAGATCCTGTTCACAGACCGTCGCCATTAAAACATTTGCCTCAGAACGTTTGCCACATACATTGACGAATGTCTCCGTGCAAGTGATGTAAAGGTTATTTAATTTCCTTGGTAATAAAAGTGTTCCGTGAAACTCTGTATCTGGGTTCTTCAATTGGGGGGTCTTGTTGTTCCATAGTTACTTTTCCTATTTTGACTGGGGCGAAGAATATGATTAGTTTTATTGGCGGGGTCCATGTCCTTCGTTACGTAGGAGTTGTATCGAGGTTCAACTACGTGTATCCAGATATCAGTTAAGTTGTACATTCTCATCGTACTCCTCATCAGCTTTTCTAAACTACAGTTCTGTTAGAGGGAATGAGATAGCCTGCATGGCGTTCCTTCCTCGTGGGCCTTTTTCTTTTTTGCCCCCATTTGTTGGATCATAAATAAGCGCTTGCCGATTGGTACTCATTGATGCAAAACATAAATGGCACTCCGTTTTCCTAATTGCAAAGTTTTCGAAACAATCAAGCAACATAAGTCTATGCAAATGAAAACAAGAGATTGTCGTACTCAAACTGTTTACATTTGAGATTCATCGATGGGCCACGTCACTTAGAATACTTTGTTTCTTAATGAAACATGTCCAGGGATCCAAAAGGAAGAGGCTTCGTTAGAGAACGTGCCAGCAGAGAGGTAAGTTTATCAAAAAATAGCTTCAGTGCCTTGTGTAAGGCATCTTAATGTATCCACCTCGATGTTTCACTTTTACTATGCAGTGCAATTTTGTTTAGATTACTTTTCTAAATTACGATTGGGATTCTGAAAAAACTTCTGGGATTGATGCCAACATCTTGCAACTTTCAAACCTTCTAGTCAAAGATCATTTTCAGCAGACAGCGTAAGAAACGAATGGATAAACATTCCACGAAGCAGACATTATATTTCCCTTTAACCGATCTCTTAAGCTCTATGAGCTTCTAGCTTCTTGCTCCATGAAATTTTTAATTCAAAGCTTTCTGTCGCCATTAGCTCCCGATAATATCGAACGAAAGAATATCCTTTGCCACCCTAGAAAGACCGCACATCTATATATTTCCGCCTAGACAACACCAGGCGGGTTTGAGCTATGAACATCTGTGAGCGGCCAGTTCAAGTACATGCAAGTACGTCGTTTACCTTTTTTCTGTCTACTGATGATGTCTGCATCGATCTGCAAGTTTATGCTTCTCTTTTCCCTTCGCTGTTAAACTCGTAGGTAAACTTGGCCTGTAAAGTATGGTGCACGCTAAAAAGCCGACACGATTGATAACCCAGTCAGTTATTGCGCGTTTTATATGAAACGGCTCTTCTGCTTTTCGCGAAAAACAAATCAACAAGCAGCGCGCTTTTCAGAAACCTTGTAAAGAATTTACAAGTGCACGAAATCCAGTGGTCATTAAATTCTGAGTGTATACAATCAAGTGATGACTTACAATGTAGTGAAACTGCTAATTCATTATACGGCTTCAATTTGCATTAACGTACTTCAAAAATACCCTATTACATCTACAGGCAATTATTTGTATTGATGACAGTCAGAGAGTAAGTTACTTTTTTAAATTGAGTGTCGCGGATATAAGAAAATTAATATGGTCATATGTCTGCGTTGTCGACAATTTCCACATTTGTTTTGCCTGTTAATGTTGTGTTGCTTAGGTATATTTGTTCACCTTCCTTCTCTTTCCAATTCAATAGACCGATAATTTGTTCATTCAGTTGGCTTCAAATGAAATGATAATGTATAATGTTTGGTTCTAACAAACGACCTGGCAGTAAATGATTTCCAAACTTTTAATGTTACGTATTTGCTTCTATGCACAAAGGAAACGCCATGTATAATTAAAGCAATTAGTATTAATAGCTCACCGAACATCTAATAAGGCGGAACTTTGGGACTTCACAGCTCTTGTCCTTTTAATGCGCTCGGCTAGCCAACTCAAATCAAACACGATAGTTGTTCCAGTTGGGTTCAGTGCACAAAATACCCTCGACAGGTAATAAGTTAAACACCCTCCTTGAGGGGATTGGTTGTAAATTTTTTCATGTATATCATGATCGTATTCCTATTAATAGTCACGTATTAACAATATTCTCTAACTCTCTTTACGGATGACTTGGTCTTGGTTTCATGGTCACATAAAAACAAAGCAAAACAGTGACGGAGCGAGTTAATCGTTGTAGTGTGACCCACGTTATATTTTTCTTGTCCACATAGGTCCGGAATGAATTTCCAAGACATGAATATCTTCTGCATTAGGTTGCTAAATGGCGACAGCAGCACCTTCACCCCTGGCCAGCTCAAGAGAGAAGACAAATGGAAACAAGCTGAGCAGGCTCCTTATCGATGGTGGAACAACAGCACTGAGGAATATTTTTGATGCTATTCACCCTCCTACCAACTTAACGTCTGATCTCAATTCCAATTACTCCATTCTTAACAACCTTTTGCGTAGAAGAGTACTAAATGGCCATCAGTGGGACAAACTGTTCCCCTCTGGTGGAGGGCTACCAGACTCCAACACGTTTGACATCACTCTTCTGTTCCTTCTGCTAACCAACATTTGTGGTTTATCCCCTCCCCTGACAGGATGGCACACCAAGCCATCCCCTGGTGACAATTCTCTTGAGGCTAACCTTGCTCGCGTTAAGCTCTTTCGGAATGAGCTGTACGGTCACGTGACGTCCACGGGAGTTAATGCGACATCTTTCTCTACGTTTTGGCAAGAAATAAGCACCACTCTTTATTCGCTCGGTTTAGATCAAGCTGAAATTGACAGACTGAAGGCAGAGCAGGGTGGAGAGGAAGATTACCTTGATGCCTTAATTGAGTGGGCTGACAGTGAAGGAGACATAAAAACACAGCTGAAGGATATCCAGCAGACGCAACTTAAACTCAGTAAAACGGTTGAAGATGGCACTTTAAAGATGGAAGAGCTACGTCAAGTCCTAAGCAGAACTCAGGATGTCGTAGATGAAGCAGTGGAAATAGAACTCAAAGGACAACAAGAAATGAGGGCAGCACAGTCACGTTTAGAGGGAGTGTGTGAGTCCCAAGACGAAATTCGTGCGTCAATTCAAGAGGTAAAAGAGGAAGTAAAAAGCTTGACGAAAAAGAGAAACGAGCAGGCAGATGAAGTGCTAAGAACTCTTGTGAAGTCGGAATTCAAAGGAGACATAGAATTTCATGCAAACAAATTCCAAGAAGGAACTCGTGAGTGGATCTTCAAAAGCATTGAAAACTGGTTAGATGACCGAGCATCGCCACATCGGGTGATGGTAATCAGTGGAAATCCAGGGATGGGAAAGACTGTTATCTCCGCTGTTGTTTCGCAAAGAATGCAAAAGGCTGGAAGACTCTCGGGAAGCCACTTTTGTCAGCATGACGATTCAAGGTACCGAGATCCTCGTTTAATGCTCCAGTCTTTGGCCTGTCACTTGTGTCAAGCGATGCCAAATTACAAAAATGCTCTAGTGGAACAGCTGTCAAGAAATCTAGGTAAAGATCTCAACAACATGGGGGTAAAAGAGTTGTTTGCGTTGCTGTTTAAAGAGCCTCTAAGCACAGTACAAGATCCTGGAAAAAACACCCTAATAGTCATTGATGGCCTTGATGAAAGCGAGTACAAAGGACGAAATGAGCTTCTACATGTAATCAGCAACCACTTTTCTATGCTTCCAGTTTGGATTAGAATTTTGATCACAACTCGTCCAGAGAGGAGCATAATAGACGCATTGCGACATTTAGAGCCAATCGAGCTTGAACAAAAGCAAGAAGAGAACTTAAATGACATTCGCACCTTGTTTGAAATACAGCTCAGTCACAAAATTGGTGAAGAGCATAAAGATATTCTCTTAAAAGAGCTGGTTAAGAAATCAGAAGGCCTGTTTATTTACGGTTACTTTATAGTGGATTTTATCCAAATGAATGTTTCAATTCTTACCCCTGATCAGCTGGAAAGCATACTGCCTTCAGGTATTTCATCCGTTTACTCGCTCTATTTCAAACGGTTAGAGAATGAACTTTGCAAAGAGCTTAATACAGATGAGGAACATTTTTTGCGTTTCCTGTGTGCTTTGACCGCTTCAAGAGAGCCCCTGCCAGTGGAATTTATTGCCAAAATTCTATACCTTGGGGAAAAATCTTTGAGCGCGCAGCGAAAAGTTAAAAAAGCGATATCTTGCATCTCTACACTGTTACAAGTTCGGGAGGGTCGTCTGCACTTTTTTCACAAGTCAATCAAGGACTGGCTAGTTGCATCATCGCCCTATGAACAACATGATTTCACCGTGGACCAGAAAGAAGGTCATGCCGTCCTCTCCAATATTTGTGCTTCTGAACTGGACAACATTAAGCGAAAAGGGGTTCATGGCAGACAGTTTACAAGCACTGAAAGATATGCTTTGATTCATACTATCCAGCACATGCTTGAGGCCAATGATGATCATGAATGGACTGACGGTTCAAGGACCATGACTGGCACATCCAATCAGGTATACCAGTATTTGACGGACCTAGAGCTTATGTACGCAAAACTCTGTGTAAATAGAACATCTGCCACGGAGGATCTCTTCCGTATTTGCAACGAACATTCGGGTATACTGAATGAGCAAAGACATTCAATTGCAACACTGCTCTATAATGTTCTAAGAAAACATTATTATATGTTGCTAGATCACCCTCACCTATTTTTCCAATGTTTGATTAACGAAGGGATTCCTGTATTATCGTCTGCAGCAGCAAGTATCGTCGAATCATCTTTCCCCACAATACCCTACATGAAAAATCTAGATAATAGTAAGGACCAGACGGGAGCAGAGCAAGCAAGGTTCTACTGTTCAGATAAAATCGCTTGTTTCGATGTTTCACCTAAATTGGATTACATAGTATGCGAGTGTCGAGACCAAACAATCCATCTGTTTTCCCTGCAGACTGGTATCAAAGTATGGGTTCGACGATCACCAATAACAAGAGAGTATGGTTTTAGAAATGCAAATGTAAGTGGTGCATATCATCAGATAGGGCATTTTTTGTCATTTTATCATTCTGTCATCTTTCATCCAAATGGGAGGTCGGTACTACCTGGAACTCTTCGATATGTTTTCACCTTAAGTGGAGAGAAAGAAGACCTTTTTCCGGAAAGTGACTGTACATTCTCAAAATGTGTTGTACGTTCTCCTGTCAACAAGAACGTCATTATCACACATTGCCCGACGCAGCCAAAGCGGATTAACTTTTGGGACATGGAAAATGGCCTAAAACTTTTATCTTTCGATTGCGGTAAAGACATTTTTTCCTTTGCCGTTTCTGATGATGGGTCGTTGATTGCTGTTTCGGAAAGGGATGATTAAGATACAATTACTATAGTTAACTTAAAAGAAAACTCTCGTTTAAATATCATTTCCTCTGGAGAACAAGGACCTTGTGGATTCTTGCGCTTTACATCCGATCAAAACACGCTTGTTTATGGCTTTCAATATTCTACTTGCGCAGATGAAGCTTCTTGCCTCTACTGCGAAAGCGCTTATAACGGAGTACCTGGGTTTAATTTTATTACGCCTTTAAATAACATTCACCTACCTGGAAAAAAGAATCTGGAAGAAGCAGAATTTACACCCTTCGTCTTGTGGCCTCGTATTCTATCAGGCGCTTTGACGAAAAATGATTTTACGGAGCAGAACAAGAGCTCTTCCTGGTTAAAAAAAATTCAGAGAAGGATGCCAATTTATTTGCGGGTTTCTCCCTCAGACTTGACGATCAAACAGTATTGGCTGGCAGCCCGGAGCACAGCTATGTTATGATGTTAAATGTTAGGATACTTCAGAGTGAGTCTGATTTCACGGACACGAAGAGAATAATCGAGTTGCATAAAAGAGAAATTGTATTTTCTCTGGAAGGAGATACGATCTACTTCATTATTTCTGAAAAATCTATGTTCTTCCCATCTCCTCCTTCTTTAATCACTGTCTGGAGAATGTCAACTCGAGAAATCCTGACGTCAAAGACATTCTCTGGTCCTACATCTATCGCTCCAATGAAGACAGGTGTCCTGCTTGTCACTACTGAAAAACCGCGGATAGTAGCAGAACTGTGGAATTTCGAGTTGTCTGAGTGTAATCAACGTATTGTCGAACTTACTTCTAAGACTGCTATGCTATACAGAGCTATAATGTTCCCAGTATCTGATAATCGGATAGCATTCTTTTACCACTTGAACTCCCACGAATTAAAATGTATCAGCAGTTCACGAAACCGGGAGGAAAACCAAGAATCACCCCAAGCGGATTTGTTAGAATCCTCAGATGGTAACATTAATTGCATTGACTTCATAGACGTCACCAACTTCGGAGGAAAGCTTATTTCCTCGCTAAGGATTAAAGCTGACCTTGAAGAAATCTTAAACTGCACCCCTTCCAGTAGCAGTTTAAGCCAAGTGCTGGTCTGTAGTTCTAGGATTATAAAAGTAGGAAATGGACTTGTAGACGAGGAGCAGGCAACGGTGAGTTTGAGAAATGAAGGTTTCGTAACATGGAAAAGAGACACGACATTCTACAATTCAATGTGCCTGAACCCACACATGATTTTATCGCCCAAAAATGAATTTGTTGTCACGTGGAACACTCTTACCGGGGGTAAGGGTCTACATATACTTAATGCAAGTACAGGAGAAACACTCCACGTGTTCTTTGAAGACCAAGAAGACATTGTTGATTGTAAGTTTCTAGATGACGAAGCCGTGGTTTGCTGCTGTAAGGACAACTTCCTTCGATTGTATAATGTCAGAACCGGAGATCTACTAACTATTCTAGACATTGGAGAGCAACCGTTCTGTTTGGGAGCCTGTCTGTACCAGCTTCTTGTTGTCATTGGGTTGTCCGAGACAAGAATAAAATTCGTCCACGTACATTTGCCAACGGAATCTAAAAAGAAGAAATAAAGGTGAGCCTTTTTCTACTCGGTCAAAAATAGGTACAAGGCTAGTTTCGCAAGTTACTGTAACCTAACAGTATCTAGACTCTAGAGCAGTCTTCGTTTTCTCAGTCCATAGAGCGAAAGGCGCGATACACGAAAATAACCACGCGCGTGACTAAGGGTGGCTCTCTCCCACGCGTATACTTCCTGTACTAAAAACATTAATTGGAAGAAAATAGGGGACTACTTGCAGCCTAAACCAGAAGCCATAATTAATTATAGCGCCTGGCCTAAACAGTACCCACATCACAACACAATAAGTAGATATACGTCTAGAGTGAATCTCATTCTTACAAATTTTCGCGCATAAATTCAGAAATCGTATTCCGCGATTTAGGTGAAACACATACCGAAGTTACAAAGGGTATAATACCATTCTTTGATCTGCTCAGTGAAAAAGACCAGCGCCAAAAAGAAAGAGCCGACCATAAAGTTTAGTGAATGTACCAAAGACGGTTTTGAAAGATTTATACTGTAGGACACAGGTGATAGTGAAGCAGAGAGAGAATATGAGTCTAATATGGAATAATCTACGAAAAAGAACCATGTTTGAAATTACCTAAAATCATTGCCATCACGTCCACGACTTACAGCAACTTTAATTAAGAATTATGTTCTGTTGTAACGTGACATAGTATTAAATTTTGAAACTTTAATTTTTCTTGCATTCTAGTTTTTGCGAGTAGTAGATTTCGGGATCAGTGTTTTGAATTTGCGAAAAACGCGAATTTTAGACTTGATAGCTTCCCGCTTACTTAAATAACACAAGCAACTTTCTGTTTTCAGTTGCAGTTTCAACACAAGTGAATTGAGCAACTTCTGGTGGCCTGTCATAAAGAAGGGCAAGAAGAGCTGGATTCTCCAAATCAGTGACCATGATCTTTAGTCCCGGGGAGGGGTGGGGTTACTCAACAAATGTTTATACGGGTAGGCTCCGCCCCGAGGTCCAACTCCCCACCCTTTTATATGCCATTTTCACGAAAAAGGTACCCTTTCGTATACCTTCTATTGGCAAATGGTACCCCTTTAATATACCTTGTCTAGAACTTTGCGTCCCTTTTAACTGCTGTAAAAAGCGCTCGTCTTTCAAATAGGAATCAATCACAAAAATTGAACTCAATGTTTTCTCGACTTTATAAAACCATAAAATTTATCTGTTAGCCCTTTTAGGCCCTTTCACAGACCCAAATGACAGATTTCCCTACCCTTTTATATACATCAACTAGTGAAATCCCTCCTCTTTCATATACCTTATTATAGGAAATTAACGCTCCACGAAATTAACGCGAATCGTTAAAATTCGCGTTAATTTAAGTCGCTTTAATTTTGTTGAGCGTTAATTTCCGCGACGTTAATTAAGTGCAGCGTTCATTTCCGCGCTCTTAATTCTAGTATTTTAAACCCAATTTACTACAAGCTTTCTTTCTTTCCATTTACCCTTTATTTTTCATCTTTCACAAATGCTAAGGCGAAGGTTTACAATATTTCGAGTTCATCTTCATCGTTGTCGCTGTCAAACGTGATGTCAATACCTTCTCCTTTGATTTCGCGTAATTAATCGCGTTAATTTCCTTTATTATGAAATTCTACCTCCTCCTTCGCGTTAATTTTCTTTATTCGAAAAGTCGTTTCCCATTAAACTCGCGTTAATTTAAGTCGCGTTAATTTCCAATACCCTAATTTCATGGAGCGTTAATTTCCTATAATAAGGTAACTGAAGCCTGAAAAAGATACCCCTTTCGGGCGGAGCCTCTCTGTATGGGCCATCATAGGGAGTACCCCCGGGTCTTTAGTTAGCGTTGTGCTTGGCGATGGATGAAAAGAAATAATTGCAAAAGTTGGCATTCAAATCCATTTGAAGAGCCCTGGATTGAAGCTGCTATATCCGGGAATTGAAAGAGACATGTATATAATAAACTTTGAAATTTCGTACGTTAACAGAGTAGCGAATATAGGTAGGGGACGGAGGGAGGGTCCGTAAAAAGCACCAATCAGACCAACTGTTTTATAACTGGAAAAAAGGCTGAACATTCGCATACAGCCTTCATTTGGTAGCTTACAATCGAACTTGTTTTGCACTCTCAGTCATGATCAGTACACCTTTTTAAACCAATGGCTTGTTGTATCAATTGACGAAATCTGGACAAAACGTACAACTAAACCGACAAGAAGAATGTTGTGAACCTTTTTTTTTTGTATGGCTTTTTTGTGAATGTTCCAGATGTCTGAAAGTGGCTCACATATCCCAGTAACACTGTAGTAAAAAAAAGGTAAAACGTAGCGTGTAATATACTATGTGAGGACCAGATAGTGATATTGGGGTCATGTTAAGACGTTCCTTGACCTGGACTGCACCACACTGTGTTTCTGAGACTTGACACGCGCGTTTAATTTAATAGCGAGTTTAATTTAGTAGTTAAAATTCTGTGTTGCACGAATCATCATGACATTAGAGGTCTACATAGTTGAGGTTTCCTTGTAGAAGGAATGTGTAACGGCTAGAAAGGGTGAAAATTATCAACAATTAAACAGATCCAACAGATGAAAAGAGTTGAACTTCGCTACTCGATCCTCTCTTACCTACCTCCTCTTAATCAAAACTCCTAGATCCAGCCACGTGACCTACCCTGCTTGCAGAGGTTTGTCTGTTTCGGCCTGGTTTTAAGCATTAAGGAAGTAAACAAGCCAACTACGTGAATGCTACCTACGAATAAGACTTCATGGATGCTAAAACCATAGCGAAAAGAAACCCCTGCTGGCAGGGTAACGTTACTATGTTGTTACTGTGTAACAGTGGAGTAAAAGGGCGAAGATCTGGTTTTTTCTTCGTAAGATGGCTGGAAATGAAACCAATTTATTACTCGAAGTTCACGATTTGATTTTCCAGACGTGTTACGAACTGTACATGTTTTAAGGTCAATCTGATTGGTTCAATCAGAAAATAGCAAAGTGCCAGAAAACTGGGATAATTCATGGCATGGGGTCATGAAGTACAGTGGAATCGCGATAAAACCGCTGTATAATCACCGTCCCGGTATAATGTGAAGTACAAAGTACAGTCACACGCAGTTAATGCGAACAGTGATGGGACCATAAAAAGCGTCGGTATAAACGAGGTATCCGTATTAAGCCAGTTGAATTTAGAGAGAATATAAGGGCATTCTTTTCCAAGGGACAAAACAAACTGTCCGTAATGAGGTGTCTGTATTAAGCAGGTGTCCGTAAAGAGGGTTTTGACTGTATGGAACAGGACCCAACAGGAGAGGATCTCTCTAACGTATACCTTCTTTTTACTTGGGGTAAGGTTTTTTAACACACGCTCGTTCTGAAACTTTGATCCATGGTGTTAAGTTGACCAGTCCCTAGGCCTCATTATTCCGCGCGGCCAAAGCGGTTGGGGTCACGTGGTCCAAGCGAAAATGTTCGCCTCGGATACGTCACCGAAATGAATTGACCGATAAGGACTGGGAAAACACCGTAGAGGGACTAGACAAGGTGTTAAGTACTATTTTGGAAGCAAGTAAAAATTGGAATATTGGAAGTGGGCCGGGGAGGGGAAAGGGGAGGAGGGTGAGGGGAAGAGAAAGGAAAAACTCTTTCCGACAAAGCCTATGAGATTATCGAACACTCCTCAAATTAGTTGCGGTTGATCTCTTTTCTTCAAATGTTTTATAGGCCAATGAAAATTGAGCTCGTTTTCACTAGAAGCCGAAATTGCCTTCGGAAGTCAACAACATTGACAGGTGTATTTGATCAATTTTGGTGAATGCAGGTAGCTAGAAATATAACGTTACTTCCAAGTAAGGTTTGTAAATATTATTTTAAAGTGAAGTTAAGGGACCTCACTGGTAAAAAATACTTCTCCTCGCAAAATCTGGTTAAACCGTCGCAGTAGAAAGATTCGTTAACAAATGTGCTTGCAGACGTTTGCCGTCAAATAGCACTGATGCAGAGGTTTACTCTGTTCACGTTTTCAACTCTGTGGTCCCAAAATTGTCATTTTGGCCATTTGTTCAAGGTTATCAACCTCCCAACTTTTCCAACAGCGAGTGGTACATTTGAAAATAGCATTAAAGGTCAGCTTGCGGCTCGAGAGCTGCCTCGTACCCGGGCGCTTCTGGAAGATTTTCTACGGCGCAACAGGTCATGGGAAGAACTTAAAAATAAGAGGCGCCGCATTCCTTTTCACGTTGAGTCTTCCCTTGTGCCTTTGCGTTTTGAAGTTTTTCACGATCTTTGGTCGCGACTACCGTCAAAAATCTCAAGAAGCGAGCAAATTAAGCGTAAATTCTCGAGGCGAAAGGACCGAAAAAAAACGTGGTTTTGATTGGCAGCTAGCAATCAAAATGCTACCATCATCACCAATCAGATTCTCCGTCTATCCAGTGTACAGGTTCACCAAACGAACAATGACTGCGCGCAGGCGAATCTTTCCCTCTGCTCCCCTTTCTCTATTTTAGGCTCGTCCTCCTTTTCCTTGGCTTGCAATCATTTTTGGCTTGCGTTAACCCTCTGTCAATATCATCATCCAAGATGGCGACAGAGCAGCACAAAGATATGTCTGCTCTGCAGGCTACAGCTTTGTTAGGCTGGTTATTTACAAGCATTTACGAGAAACGGGCTCAAAAACGGTCGATACGGTTATTGGGCAGGGACAGGTTATTTTCGAATAGCCTGAAATCTCGTTATAAAGTGAGATTTTCTTTATTTCCTTGAAATGAAAAATATAAATAAAAGTAATAAGAAATAACAGGTTAAACCTAGGACGTGAAAGCATTCCAAACCCTTGGGCAATAGGGGAGGGTTAGCGGTGGTTGCGAAAACCCTCCTCCCTCCATACGAGGTCTTAGTCTTGAATAAGTTCACAGACGCAGGTTAACCCTAGGATATGAAAGCAAATCAAAACCCTTCGGCAATAGGGAATGGAGGTGGTTGCGATAATCCCCACACCTCTGCGTTAACAGTATTAAATAGTATTGGAAATGTCCAGACCTTGATACCCATAGTAGCAGACACCTTTGATTACACTGACGGCTTTTGAGGAGCAAACAATCTACTTTTATGTTATTTTTCACCTCAGCATTGCGTTTGCAAAAATATCGTTGTGAGTCATACACGGAACAATTCCCAGAACAAAATCTTATTAAGAATACGCAGAAACTGTCAAACGATTTATTATACTACAAATTAATAACATCTCAAAGACAATAGTTATTATGATACTTAACATTAGTTTATGGGGATCTGCATTTTACTTGCTAATACTAAATCATTCAATGATACTCATTGAAAGATCTCAAAATTTAAAACGTAGCTATTGCTAATGATACTGATTGTAAGGTTTTCAGGGGCGTAGGCAGCCACTTTTCCTTTCAAGCGCCTGTTGTAGAAGTCCTGAAAGGGAGGGGGGAGAGGGAGGGGGTGAGGACATAGAAGCAAGCTGAGTTAACGGTTACCTTCAGTTAAGACAGTACAGCACAGTTCGCTTTTGCAGTTAAAACTGTTGCGTTAAATGAGTACATAGTATAATAGTGAGTTAACAATTATGTACACCAACAATAAAACTATATTGATTCTAGCAGGTAATCAAAGTCAACAAAGCAGGCCAACGTCCATCACCGCGACAGGCATTGCTAACTGTGTTAGGTGCAATTTCACTCCCTGTTATTAACTTTCGATTAGGGAAGGAACGTTTTCAATTGGGGGAAGGGGTGGGGATTCAGAGGGGAGGGTAATCAAAAACCAAAAATGGGACCCTTGAGGAGGGTCAACCCTTATTATAAAAGGTATCAAGGAAGAGCCAAGCCTTCTTTTCACAGTAGTTTCTTTAAATGTGTTCATCTACCACATTGATGTCATTTCTTCGTATTTTAAAGCTTCGTACCAGTCCTTTCTAAGCTTTTCTATCAAACGGAAACTTGTAATGACTCATTCCATTTAAACATCAGTTTTATTGCAGTTCATTCATCAGATTCATTCACTCTTACTGTCTTTCTTTTTTCTTCTTGTTCTGCCATGGCACGTAACTGTCTCGGACGCCGGACGACCCGTGTTCTCTTTCGGCCGTACCTTGACGTTGATGTGTCCAGTGTATGCAGTACAGGGCTGTCACTTATATCGCTCAATTCTCTCGATGATGTTGACAATGCTTCAGAGCCTACAATCCTTTCCCCTTCATCACTTTCTGAGCTCGAAGTTAAGCTTCTTTCACAAAGTCTCTTTCTCCATAGTGCCTGATAAGATCCTGCCAGCGATATGTACTATATATATGCCACTTTCTCTGGCCTCTTCCCGTTAAACACGATTCCATGTCGTACCAAGTACAAATTAAGTTCATGAACTTTCAACGACGACATTTGGTCAGAATTTTACAATTGCTCTCATTAAATGTCGATGTAATCTTCCAGCCACTGCGTTTTCTGCCTTTCACTTTCAGTTCCTCGCTTTTCCTTACGCATTTCATTTGACCAAGGTGATCAACATAGTCCTTCTTCACAAACTTCAGCGGGACAATACAGTTCCGAGAAAATTCAGCTATTGTCCCGCCTTCTCCTGGATTTAATTTGTGTTGGTGGAACATTCTTTTCATTTGAGCTCGGGGCTGAACATCATCAGGTTCACGACCATCGATAGATGTTGCTGATAGTGGTAGAAATGGGGATCAGGAAGCTTGTCATAGTCTGGGAAGGGTCGAAGAGTTGCCTCTACGACCCAGCCCTCCCCCCAATAAAAAACCTACCTTCCCTTATGTGAGGTAATTTTAACCTGGGCTTAATGGCTTTTAAGGCAGCTACGCCCCAGTTCTAATATTTTTCCGTTCACTTGCTGACTAATTTGTTTTAATAATACTGAGAAAAAACTCTACAACTATCGTCCTTCAGTTACTGGTCATGATGCCGGATACTTAACATCACTTCTTAAGGTTCTGTTTTACTTAATTGCTAGTTCTAAGCCATTTAATGACTGAAATAAAAAATATATATATATGACTTAACCTATTGCTCACGATACTGGATGTAAGCTCTTGGGTTTTCCTTTTCCCTTGCTAAACTACAGTCATAAAATACCGACAAAAAACTCCACAATTATCAACCTTAGCTATACAGGTCAAGATGATACACTTGGAGTGCTAATTCGATCCAAGCCATTTAATGACACCAATAAAAATATAGAACTTTTGCTTATGATACTAAAAATACGTTCTTAGGTTTTCAAAGTCATTTACTTTGATACCAACGAAAAGCTGTACAACTATCACCTTTCAGCTACTGGTCAATCATGACGCCTGATCCTGAACATCACTTCTTAAGTGCTAGTTCTAAGCCATTTAAAGACACCAATAAAAAACTTTTCAAACGTAAAACTTAAGCTATTGCTCATGACACTACTCGTAAGTTTTAGGGTATTTCTACTCACTAACTAAATTAAGTCATATAATACCGACACAAAAAACTGCAATTACCAACCTTAAGCGACAGGTCATGTTAATACACTTGGAGTGCTTATTTTAAGCCATTTTATGACACCAATAAAAGTAAATAACTCTTCAAATACAAAACTTAAGCTATTACTTACGATACTGAATGTAAGTTCTTAGGTTCTCCTTTTCATTTGCTAAACTAATCATTACCAACCAAAAAAATCTGCAATTAACAATCTTAAGTTACAGAACATTATGATACAATAAGAGTGCTAATTCGATCTAAGCCATTTAATGACACCGATAAGAATAAAGAACTCTTGAAATATGAAACTTAAGCTTTTGCTTATGATACTAAAAGTAAGTTCTTAGGTGTTTCTTTTAACTCGCTAAACTAAGTCATTTATTATAATAACGACAAAAAAACTCTAGTCTTCGCTTATCAACCTTAAGCTACAGGTCATGATGATAATGAACATCATTTATTTGGGTTTCTTGTTTAACTTGCTAATTGTAAAAGCTATTTCATATAAAAAACTTAAGTAAGGCGTCAACAACCCTCGGATCGGACCGCCGGAATTGAATAAACCACAGTAACTCACTAAATAACAAAAGGTTAGGGATAGAGTAACAAAGGTTGATCCTGAGTCCGGTCCAATCCAGGTTTTGTCAGCGGTCGTTTAAATTTAAACCTTAAGCTATTGCCAATAAAACTGAACATTAGTTCTGTTGGTCCTATGTATTCTATGTTTATATACTAAGCCTTAACAAACAGAGAAATACTCAAATATATATGAACCGTAAGCCATTGCTAACGATGCTGAATCAGTTCTGACGATTTTTGTACTAAATCTTAACCCCTCAAATACAAATCTAAATCTACAGCTTATTTATCAATTAATGAATGAGGCTGAGTATCATATAAAGAATTATGGAGATCGAGGAGGGTGTTATCCCTCGGATAACACCCTCCGAGATCTCCATAATTCTTCATATGATACGAAAGCCGAATTCAATAATTGTTTCATTATTCATTCAAAATAATTCCTAGTTTAAAAACAAAGTTAAAACATGCTTACCTCCATCGATGTTAAGTTCACCTTCGATAGTGCACGTTTAGGGTTGTTCAGCTCCGCAAATATTCTCCAAATAGCAGATGTCGCCCTTCGAGTTGTGTTCTTTCTGCTCTGGCCATGTTTTTAGCTATAATTTCGCCTAGTTCTTACTCTTGAAACGAGTAAAATGTCCGTCATTTTTTGTTTTTACAACCAAAACAAACTCAACCTCGTCACCAGGGCTTCTCGGTTTTCGGTGCATTAACCTGCAAGAACGCTGCATTTTTGACGTCATTTCCTCGTTAAACACAAAATTCTTCCAAATTTGGTCATCAGTAACTGGTTATGGGGAATTATGCGTGTGCTTTCAGCCAATCAGACTCGGGAAAATATGTTGAATGAATAATAAAATTCAATAAAAGACACACATGTACGATTAGAAATAGTGTTACAGGGGTTTAACTCATCCGGCCCGATCCAGGTCTAGTCAACGGTCCTTTAAATATAAAACTAAAGTTATTGCTTATGAAACTGAACATTAAGTTCTGTTTTTCTGTCGTACTTGCTAATACTAAGCCTTGAACTAACAGAGAAATCTTCAAATACAAATGGTAAGCTATCGATAATGATACTAAATCAGTTCTTATGATTTTTGCGCTAAATCAAATATAAAACTGATTATATACTGAGCATATGTTATATTGATGTTAAGTCTTATATACTTGAGTTGTAAATACTAAGTCCTAGAAACCTAACTGTTCCAAATTATACCTTGAACCTTGCTTTCGAAACTGATTAGAACATTAACTTCACGTTCTTCGTTTTATTAGCAACTAAAAAATGTCAAATCTATAAAGAAACTTCTTCATGTAAAAACGAGAAGCTGTTACTTCAGTCAAAATGATGACCATAAACTTCACAATAAACTGATCACAAACTTACAAAATGAACCTGCATAGTTCATTTACACTGCACTGTTTTACTCGCTAACATAGTCATTTAATGACACCAAAAGGAAATTCTCAAAAAAATATTCCTTTATCTGTTGTGATTATGATACTGTACATGTTTTCTGTAGGTTTGCTTTACTAATTTTAAATCACTCAATGATAATAGAACCTCTTCAAATGTAAGCCTTGTGCTATTGCTTACGATACTCTGCATCAGTTCTAGAGGTCTTCTGGTTTACTTGCTAATAATTACTGACATAAATCCTTAAACGATGTTAAAACGAAGCTTAAAGATGAAAATTTAATTAAAAGGTTTAAACGTACTGTTGATGGCATACTTTTCGAAGCTTTTCCATATTTGAGGGCTTTGTTTTTACAGCGTGTTGTTCAATCCACCTCCTGTCAATGTGTCAATAAGAGACTGGCTGCTCACGTAACATTTCTGGATACTGCATGTGCATCCATCATCAATGTTGAGGCTCCAAACTGCAAGATTAACAAGTAAAGACTAAACATTAACAACCATTTCGCAGTGGAGTAAGACTTAAAACACAACCAACACCATCAATTAAAAAAAATAATAGAAATAAACGTATTGAGTTCTACTGAGTAGACACAAGTACTGGTAGAACCACCACTAAAAAAATTTAAAACATAAAACGGTGTTGAACGGAATAGACAGAGGAATATAAATAATCGTAGTTAAAAGATACATTCTAAAAGTACAAAAGAATATCAAGAACATCTACACTAATTGTGACAGATTCTTTTTAGCAGTAACAGTTCTGTTCAGTTCAGTTTAACTGAGTCAGCTGCCACTAGAGTCTTTCCGACACAAAATATGTTTCGATGTGCCAGGGGCAAATTTAGTAAATACAGCAAATGGAATGTGCTTCGTTCCCTATTCACCCCAACAAAACATGTTTAGATTATACCAGGTTTAACAATACGAAATACTTTAAAGTAACTTCATATCTCAATAGGGTTCAAGAAACTTAAACTTGTGCGTTAAATTCTGCAAACTTAAGGCGTCAAACACTAATACACAGCTTTTAAATGGAAAAAAATATGCCAAGGCGATACACTAAACAGCTTTTAAACATCCAATATTATTGGTACGAAAGAAGCGTAAGGGTTTCGGATGGTATTATGAGATCCTATAATCGTGTAGTCAAAAGCACTGTTAAAATATCATTGAGAACCTCAGTGACAAGTTAGCAAGGGTTAACCGATTTCGGTTCCTTAACCGTGCTTCTTTTCGAGCCTGGAATGAACTTTAAGTAACGTAAAAATCCCGTATTATAATCCCGGTTATACGCCTACCCGTTTGCTACCAAAATAACGTTCTGGTTACACGCTGATTCCTTCTCATTGGTACGCACATAATGGCTCCTCAGCAGCATTTATTTGCAACAAAACTCCACTAAATTTACTAAAACGATTTACAATCACAGTTGGAACGGGAGAGAATAGAGATCCTTGTACTCACAATTTGTTGCCAGGTCGACGCATTGTGGCATAACCTTTGTCTGCAAGTGTTGAGCTTTCGGAAACTGAAAAACATTAAAATACGAAAATATTCTCACTGCTTCAGTAAAATCTTCCTGGATACTATGGATGGCAAAACTGAATGGAAAACCAAAAGCAATCGACAATACTTAATTAACGCATGCAATTAGAAAACATCTGCTTATGTAAGGATCTGAAACCCAAAATAAAACTGAATTTGTATTCATTAGTGGTCCCAGATAACAAAGTAAGAACCATTATTACATCCCTATTAAACAAGATCTATGTAACCTACCAAATCTGCAAGAATATTTGAAAACTGAGAGGAAAGCTACTGGCTAAGTTTTTAAAGATTCAAAAAGTTTTCTGGAGCTGAGATATCTCGCTCAATGGAGAAGGAAATACAGGGGCACCTCTGTTAACCCAGTATAAGTCCCAATATCGACATACAAATTCTCTAGACTGATCTCCATAAATTTCCTTAGAGAATTAGTTGAGACAACTTGATAACAGATCAAAGCATTTTCCCTCAGATGATCATTTCATCACTTCCCATAACGCGTTCTCATGATGACGTACTGATATTGTTGGGGGAAAATTGAGGTTTAAATTTCCTTAAAGAATTAGTCGAGAGAATCTGGTTAAAGATCAAAGCACTTTCTCTTAGGTGATCATTTCATCACTTCTCGTAACGTTTTTTTATGATGATGTACTTGATATTGTTAGGGGATACTTCAGGTTGGTCACCCTTGGGACTTGAAGGGATAAGCGGCCAGCGGCCAGCCTCAGGGAAGGGACAAGTGGACGCTTAATAAGGTACTTTTTACAGTGATTTACTGACAGCTTTGTCCGCAGGGAATCTTGTAACAGGCCGCTAAATAGAGTGGCTGCTTAATAGAGGTTCGACCCCGCTAATAAGTAATATCTACAAACTGCACTATCCTTAACACAAGCTCCTTTTTGGGAACTAATATTATTACCAATCAGAAACTCATAACTTTCTTTACCAATTTAATGTAGGTGTGATCTGTCGACGGTACGTAAACTTAGCAATTCTTCGACTAACGATAAGGAAAAAACGCATTGCTCACCTTTTGCTTCCGGGTTTACTTTGTCTCCCAGCTGTTTTACTTGGATAACTACGCAGAAACATTTGGAGTCATCAAGGCCAATAGCGATCAAGCCCTTTTGTGGACAAGAAGCCAGACACCAGGACGGTACAAAATCTATATCAACTACAGTTAGGAGATCCCCAGTGTTAACATTGAACAACTGAAGACAATACCTCTCTGAATTCATGCAGACGATAACACATTCCGTCTTACTTACAAAGGCACAGCCAAGAACTTTGTTAACGGTGCATAGCGTACGGTGAAGCTTTCCTGAAGATGCTTCAAGAACAAGTACTTTTTTCTTGAACAGAGGGTATGTAGACGAGGTAAGCACAAACTCCTCTGTTGGAGAAAACATCCCGGGTAGGTCCCCATTCAAACAAAGATCTGGTTCACATCTCAAAGTTCTCTTCCATAGTTCATTTTTGCCATCTGACAGATGAACTGAGCTAGGAAAGACACGTCTACCACGTGTTACTACAGTGGATAGCAGCTCACATTTACTATTACATACTATGGCTTCTATACCCAACGGATATGATGATGTTAACTGGTCAACCTCGTGACAAAGTGGGATGGTCTTCACTATGTTTCCATTTGATGTGTCCAGGATGGTTACTTCAAAATCTTTCCCCACACACGCTACACATCGGTCTGAAAATGGCTTTATATCCCTAACCTCGCTTAAATTAGGCCAACTTCGGAGTTGTTGTGACAAGTCAAAATTCCAAAGCTGAACACCCGCCGAATGGTAATCTTCTTTCAAAAGGACGCCTTCTGACACAGGTACAAGAAAACCACCAGGAGAAGGGCAGAAAATGTCACGTGTACTTATCACTTTCTCTGCTTTAAGATCTCCACTCGACACATCCATAGATACCACTTGAAATCTATGATTCTCTACAGTGGCACCATAAATGGTCTTCCCATCTAAAGCGAACGCAATGCGACAGATACGAGAGGAAAGAGAGAGAGAACGCCAGATGGCCCTCGAATGATCTTGTTTAAGGATTTCAATTTTCCTGTGTCCATGAGATACCCTCACTACAATTTGTTTGTTTAATACAAATGCAAACATAAAGGAACAAGGTTCAAGTTGCGAAGGAATCGTGTAAACAGGAGTGAAAGGATCTCCCATCAAGAATCCACCTTTGCTAGATGATTGGGAATTCCTTGGATCCTGGCCAAAACGATTGTCCAAAACGTTCAAGGAAAAGGTACCACATGGCAACTTAATGACGTTTAAGGTAAAACTGAAGACACTTTGCAAACTTCGTCTGGCTTTACTTGGCTTGACACTTAGGGAAAAACGTAAGGGTCGACGCGATTTTGTTAGCGCCCTAACGTTATGTTTGTTTTCACTTGGTAGAAATGACTGAGACAAACAAAAAAGGAATTGACTGTCAGGGGTAAATTTTATCATTCCACAAGGTCGATTGGTGGTGACTTCTGCAAGAGTGGTGTCTAAGGAGTTCAATGCGTCAACCAAACACACCAGTCCCGAAAAATGGGAAATTGCCAGAAGCGTTCCATTTGGAGACCAAGCAAAAGACAAAACATCTTCATTTCTGATGGTTCGAGTGATCTCTTTGCCAGTTTTTAGATTCCACATGACAAGGCATTTAGCATCCCCAGGGCAATCGGTGATAATTTTGCCCTCGTCCCCATGAACTGAACAAACCAAAAATCTGCAGTTGCTCTCAGGGAACAGAGGTAGTAGGTCTCCGTTAATTGAGTAGGCATGGCTAAGGATTCCAGGAAGAACAATGCGCTCAGTAGGGTGAAAAACAACAGAGCGATAATATGAATATACATTCGAGTTTGGTACCACTCTAAAGGGAAGATCAGGTCTAAAGTAGCATTTCTTGACCTCAACCCGACGTACCCACTTTAACTCACCCGTTTCGAGTGACCAAAGGTAAATCATTCCATTACTACATTCGCAAACCATGAACTCCTGCTTCGGTGAAATATCAAAACAAGCAACCACGGAGTCACATGAAAACACAGCCTGGGTCTTATTCCACACCTTCTTCAAAGCTTCCTTATGAAGGTACTCCATGTAAGGTATTTCACGACTCTGTAAAACTTTCGTAGCTTCACTAGCAAAAACGTCCCCTCCCTCGTTCACCATCACTTGAAATATTGCACTAGGATGCGTCGAAAGTCTTTCACGGTACTTTTGTAAGAGAGACGACAACGTGTCAAGGGCTTTTCGCCTTTCACTACTCAATGACTGAAAAGCTTCTTGTTTCTGAGTAAGGATAATGTCTTTAGAACTAGCCGTGTTGTTTACACATAGCTTTGCAAACACAATGTCTAAGTTGGTAACAGTTGTTAACGATTTCTTCAAAGCTTCTTGTACTCTCATCTAGCTCTTCGGACTCGAGCATATGATAAACACCATGCTGTAGCGCGTACCTTGCAGTGTTACTGAATTTGGAGCCGTGAACGCCTTTTCTTTTCACGTTATTCAGTTCATTAGTACAGAGCTGAGAGAGCATGGCATGACCTTGCTTTTCATCTACGGAGAAGTTGTGTTGCCCATAGGTAGTTCTGTCAGTCAACCAGTCCTTAAGTGATTTGTGGAAGAACACAATGCAGTCATCATGAACAGGTAGAAGGGTAGAGATAGAGTTAATAGCTTTTGTTACTTTCCGAGGACCAGATGGGGACTTCGAGTCCGAAAGCAACATCTTAGAAACAAAGTCTCGTGGTAGTGGTTCTCTTGCCGCCGCCATAGCACTCAAAAAAGTCAAAAACTGGTCCTCACCAATTTCCAATTCTTTCTCTAAACGTTCGAAGTAGGACTGATAAACAGACGATACATCTGAATGTAAGGTTCTTCCTAAGTTCTCGGGGGTGAGAAGTGAAAAGTTTTTCTTGAAAAAATCGACCATCAAATAAGCATATAAAAAATGCCCTGCAGCCTTTCGGACCAGTGCATCGATAACAACATCTTCAGAGCCCGATTGAATAACGCTGCTCAACTGTTTTTCAAGGAAGAGTCTAATGTCTTTCACGTTTTCTTCGTTATCTTGCTCCAGCTGAATAGGATTAAACTTTTGAAGACGATCTGCAATATTTACTTCAGGTCGAGTAGTAACAAGAAACCGGAACCAAACAGGAAGTTTACAAAAATGATTAGCTACGACATCAAGCAGATCATTGCGGCCTTTGTATTCACTTTCATCCAGGCCATCAATAACTAACAGCAAATTTCTTCCACGGTCTCCTACGCTGCATAGAGGCTCTTCGAAAAGAAATTCGAACAGCTCCTGAACTTCTAGGCTGTTCATGTCCACACCCAAGTTTCTAGAAAGTTTCTTCACAAGTTCACTTTTGTATTCTGGTAAAACATCACACAGCTGACAAGCTAACGATTGAAGCATTACCTTGGGGTTTCTGTAACGTTCCTTGTTGTGCTGACAAAAGTGACTTCCTGAGAGCCGACCAGCGTGTTGCATTCTCTGACAAACGATAGCGGCGATAACTGATTTGCCCATTCCTGCATCTCCACTGATTACCATCACACGATTTTCAGATGCAAGATCGTCTAGCCACAACCTGATCTTCTTAAAGATGAGCAAGCGCGTTTTCTCCAGGTATTTCCCAGAGTGATACTGGATGACTCTCTCGGTGCTAACTTGTGCTAATTTTCTCAGAGCTTCATCCTCTTCAGCTTTATCTCCTCTTTCTTCAGCATTTGCAGCCTCACGCTTTATCTGCTGCTGCGATTCTTGTTGGGTTGTCCGAACTTCCTGTAACATTTGTTGCAAATTGCCAACTGCCTGGTGCGTATCTTGAAGCGTCTGTTCCACTCTGCCAACCGTTTGTTGTGTATCTTGAAGAGTTCTGTGATCTTCCTGTTGGGTTTGGAGCACTTGTTGTTGTTTAGTAAGTAGATCTTTCAGCTGGAATTGGATCTCCTCGTCATTTTTCATCCATTCAGTAACAGCGCTGACATAATCCTCTCCACAAGGCTCTCGCTTTAATCTGTCCACTTCAGACTGATTCAACCCAAGCGAAACAAGAACAGAACTAACTTCCTGCCATTTAACATCGAACACTAGTTTTGGAATACCAGTTGTTGTCACGTGACCACAGAGCACGTTTCGATAGTATTTCATGCGAGCAAGGTTAGCCTCTCTAGAGGTGTCACTCGCGGGAGGCATTTTGTGCCAAGAGCCCGAGGGAGGAGGGGATAGTCCGCAAATGTTCGTCAGCAAGAGGAACAGAAGAGTGATATCAAAGTTAATAGAGTTTGGTGTCCCTCCACCTGGTGGTGGAAACAGTTTGTCCCACTGACTGCTATTCAGAATGTTTCTATGCCGAAGTCTAGTAAGAATGGAATGAATATGTCTGGAACTAAGATTAGCAGCCAAGTTGGCAGGAGGATGATGGGAATCGAAAATATTCCTCAGCACTGTTGTTCCGCCATCGATGAGAAGCCTACTTAGCTTGTTTCCATTTGTCTTCTCGACAGAGCTGGCTAGGGGTGACGGTGTTGCAGTCGCCATAAAAGCCAGAAAAGGAAATATCCACCAGCTTTTAAATCTGCGTAGAAACTAACACACACACACAAAATAAATTAACGTTAAAGCACAGTTATCTTTTTCTCATAAAAAAAGAACCTAAAATACTTAGTAGTTGAGTACCTCACCAAGGTTATTAACATATTCAGAGGGTCTCATCACGTATATAACAGTTTAAGTTGAACTGCTACTGAATAATAAAAAACAATGAAAAACACACAAAAGTCTCTGTTTTCCCGCCACAACTTAACATTAGCATGCATGCATTTTGAGTGTAAGGACGATCGTAAGTCCCAAAATAAATCAAAAAACTTATGCTTATGCAAAAGTTTGTGGGGGAAACAAAGAGTACTATGACTATTAAGGTAGTTTTGAATAAGGCCTATTACAGTGCACACTTTCATCATCATGCAAATTTATCTATATGTGATATCAATATATTTGGTCTCTCATGTTCATCCTTCACGAGTTTACAACAAATTGACTAAATGACAAGCTCCCCTCCTGGTTGGCTTGTAAGCTCAACTGGGGAGAAAAAATATCTTAGTAAAAAAAACACTATAATTCTAACAAAAATCTTCAGATCCAAGTTAAAATACAAAACAGTAAAGGGGTCATTGACAGTATAACAGTCAAGGGTACCTGAGAAGTAAATCCTGTCAAAAGTTTAAAACTTGGTGGACAGTTGTACAAGCACCAATCATGTGCACATTGAAAAGAATGAAAAATGTTAATTAGAATTTAAGAAGCTTAAGTCAAATTTTGGCAGGGATATATTATGCACTTGTAATTTCCCTCAGACAGGTTTACTCACAGGCTGTAGCATGACTCACTGCAAATTGCTGGATCTATTATATTTCATTAAAATAATGTTTACAAAAGGAAAAATAATGTAATGAAAAAAGAACATCTTCCCACAATGCCAAGATAGCACACAAAACAAAATGAAAATTATTATGCCATAAACAGAAACCTGGGCAAAATATGAAGTTTATTTACTTGCTCTGAAGTCCTATTCCCCCCCCCCTTTCCCCTTCCTCTGCCCCGTGAGTCATCTCCCTGCTTCCACTACTTCTCCCCTCTCCCATGCCCTACAACTCCCACTCCTCCCCCCAACTTCCCCTTTCACTCCCACAACCGTTCTCCCCCCCATCATTTACCACTGCTAGTGACAGTATCACTCTCCCTCCCTTAAACTACAATGCTACTGCCACTCCTCCCTCCCTCCTTATCAATTACCATTACCAATTGTTTGATGGTTACCAACAATAATAATATATAGATTTAGCCAGGGCTAAAAGCGAAGCTCCCATTAATAAATTTATATTTTATATCAAACAATAAACTTGTAATCCACAAATCAGTTAACTTAAGGGCACATTCATGTGACTTTTGAGGGAAAGGATAGGTTATTTTAGAGTGAAACATCTTACATCGAGTTGATAGCCTAAATATACATGTATGTACACCCAAAAAAGGGCAAACATCTTCTATCACATTCAAGAGCCATAATGGCTCTTGATCACAGTAGATTAGGCCTCGAACATAACATAACATAACATACATGTTTATTCAAACTCATAATGACCACATGAATTTGAAAGGGAGAGTCTAGAGGTTAACCCTATGAATAAAACTCTCCTAAAAACAACAAACAATAAAAATTACAATAAAAATTACAATAAAAATTACAACTTTAAAAAGGATTTGAGTTTACATTTAAAAAGTTCAAGGGAACCGGCTTCAACAACATTACTAGGTAAATTGTTCCAGTAACTTAAATTACATTGTTAAAAAAAGAATATTTAAAACAGTTGATTCTAGATAATTTACAATAAAGCTTATACGAGTGATTTGCCCTAGTGGATTTGACTTTTGCGAATTGAAAGAATTCCTCAAAATCCAAGTGTGATAAGCCAAACACGATCTTATAACATTCAACAAGAGAGGAATATGTCCTACGACTGGACAAAGATGGCCAATGTAACGAGTCACAACGCTCTTCATAAGACATATCACCTCTTTTTTGCCTAAGAGCTAATCTTGACGCTGCCTTTGCACGCCTCTATTGCATGAATATCTTTGACAAGATATGGGTTCCAGACTGGAGCAGCATACTCTAGAAGTGGTCTGACCAATGTTTTGTAAAGCAATGAAAAAGTTGTTGTATTAGCTGTTCCAACAGACCGTCTTATTAGCCCTAGGACTTGGTTCGCCTTATTCACCATGGTACTAATATGTTCACTCCAAGTAAGATCTTTTGATATAATAATTCCAAGATCTTTAAAGCTCTTGACATCTTTTAAGGTCGTACCTAGTTTACCTAGTTCAATTCTTGGAAAACAAATCAGGCCACATTTTTTTGAGTTCGACAGGTTTACTTTACAAACTCTTGCCAACAAATCTGAGGGTGTGTAAACCAACCTTTTATACTTTTTATACATCACATCTGAGGTGAAACAGTACTTTTTATCATACAGACCTCGGACAGAATACGGCATTTCACAATTTTTAAATGTTCTGGATGATCAATCGTGGGCTTTTAGCGAAACCGTTCAAAAAATTTCCAAAATCACCCATACGTCCAGCCGGTTCTCATTTTTAGTGCGAGCTGTCAGTGTGGTCGAGTGTTTGAATGAACTTTAATGGAGATACGCTTCAACATAATAATATACCTGCCAACTTTTTCTGAGATATAAGCGTGAGATTTTTATCCTGGGAGTGCTGGGATTTTTGAAGACGACACGATCATTTCTGAAGATTCCCGAAGACATCCGAAGTCTTCCGAAGACGTCCGAAGTCTCCCGAAGTCTGCCAAAGGCGAGCTCGCTCCCAGTGCTTTTCACTTCACAAATCAGAGATCGCGAGGAAGATATTTCCATTTATTCATTTTACACATGGTTTTCGTTCCTTACATGGGTCTGAGTTAACATATTTTTGGAAATTGTGTCAAGCAGGACGGCAACAACTCACATTTTTCAATCAGGCGTGAGAAATTGGCCCGGAGGCGTGAGCCGGCGTGAGATCGAAGTTTTCAACCCGCAGGCGTGAGACTCACGCCTAAGGCGTGAGAGTTGGCAGGTATATAATAACGCATTTATTATCATTATTTTTTGCTATTTAATGGTTCCAGTTATAACGATGTGTAATCTTGATAAAGCGTTTGATACGCGCGACATTCCTAAGTACTCCTCCAAGCGATGTTAATGAACGATGAAAACAAACACCACATACAAGCGATTAAAATTGCAAGAGAGACTACTAACAATCAATAAAAGAAATATATTTTGGTAAAACATTTACAGAGACAACAATTTTCATTTACGAAGACAAGTATTAAAGTGTCTCTAAAAATCCTGAGTCTTTAAGCTTAAAGCTAAAGCTTAAGTTTATTTTGTTTTACTTTCAGCCGGCCACCCGGTGTTTGTTTTTTTTTTCAAAGATGAACTCTTCGAAGCAAGAAAATCACTCAAAGTTTTCTTTCTACAGCCAAATTTATAACTAAATATTCTTCGGAACGTTTTTTTTCTATATGCCCTGAGAAAATATATCTGAAGGCCTTTTAAAGTTCTGTAAGCTTATATCAAACCTGACACTAGATAAGATCATTGACTCAAATCTTTAACAAACGTGCAAGAACTTGCCGCATAAACTGTGCTCGACTTCATGAAATTAGATATAACAAAAACAAACATCAAATACAGTAATTACTCAGGCTTACCATTCGAGATTCAGTTCCTGAAAGATATCAAGGAAGGCCATAGTTGCTTGAGACTTTTAAACCCTCTTACGCATTGAGCAAGGTGAAAGACAAAAACAATGCCATCCGAAATTCGATTACCCAATTTTGACAAGCGACGCATTTCTCAACCAAGAACCCAATAAACAAACCAGCCATGGATAACAGAAGACTCTTGATAGCAGCTATATTTCATTTTGTACATCCAGTGGAAAAAGACAGTTAAAAACATCACAAGTTGACACAAAACTCTGTCAGCTTTAGCTGTCAAAGTAAACAACTTTCAAGATGCTGCATAAATTTTCAGCATGAACTCACCTGTCAAATTTTGACCAATCAGAGTACAAAAATTGGACGTAGAGCGTGACCAACGTGTGACCATGGTAAGAAAAGGTCTTCCCCGCCTTTATTTTTAAAAAAGTGGCTGAATTTTTGCATCCGAGGTCAGTTTGAAATCAAAATCTTGACAGTGCAGGGCCATAGTGACATAAACACGACATATTTCATATGAATCATTGGAAACAATAGACTTGAGCCTGCGATCATTTGAAACTGGTAATTTGTCAGCGGATAACTTCAAAAAAGTACTCAACCTCGATGGGTCAACACTTGAGCCCGCGCTACGGTCAGGTGATACTGGTCAGCGGATATCCTGTTTTGACAGCTGTCAATTGATCACAACATTGATGCGCAATTAGTTTTCTATTGGGCTACCAAACTAGCTAGAAAGTGTGAGAGTAAACATTGGTTTCCCTGCGGTGCGGACGGACGGTCGGGCGTACGGTCACGTGATTACCAAATTTTCTTGGATGGGTAGATTACCACATTTCCTTAGCTATGGGGCTCCGTCCACGCGCGCGCTTCGCGCGTGGGTGGAGCTCCGCTATTACCCTCTCACCCTCCCTCATTTACCAATTGAGCCTACATGTAGGTGTTACAGCCCCCTCTCAGTATAACAGTTGCAACTGCCACTTCAACTTTGCTGACATTACATTACTACCACCACCTCAGTGTATTAGCAATGTCATAACATGATAATGATTACTGTGTTGTTTCTAATATATGCTGACAAAATTGTGCTCATTGATAATTGAAAGAATTAGTAGGTCACTGCAAAATAAGTACTGGAAAAGCAAATGAAATCCTTAGTTGTCAATGACACATGTATGAGGCGCCCTGTTAGGGCAAAACTCTGACAAGCAACATGGCCTTGAACCAGTGACATAAAAAAAAGATGAAATGGCAG